ATTCAGTGCTGGCACTTAGCTCTCTGTAGGTGACCTATCACATTTTGTCATTTGGGCCCATTTTCTTTATTCATATACTTTTTTCATTTCCACGCTTTCACCTTCCTTGTCTTATCTATTCATGGCTGTGCTGGGTATCTGTTGCTGCCCTCATGCTTTTCTAATTGCAGAGAGGGAGGGCCACCCTTCACTAACGTAGTGGGCTCCTCATGGCAGTGGCCTCTCTCGTGGTGGTGCACAGGCTCTTCAGGAGTTGTGACGACAGGATTGTCTGCCCTGCAGCAAGTGGACTCTTCCCAGACCACGGATGGAACACATATCCCATGTTGACAGGCAGATTCACAACCACTGGCCCACCAGGGAAGTCCTCTCTTGTTTCAGTTGTCTTATTTGCTCATTGTCACCATCTTTGATTACTTCAACTTCCATCTCATGGTGAACTTCCAGATTCCACATTTCTCGTCTGAGCCACACCAACAGCCATCTCTAGTGTTGGCATCCTGTGTCAGCCTTTTTAACAGCAATGAATCCACGCCTATAACTGTAGCTGGAGAAGCTTTTGCCAGCTCTTCTCTCTATTCTTGGTCCTTTTGTGAATACCTCTTCTGCAAGACTACTCCTTTGTTAAGAAAATGCTGAGTGGATAATCATGCTGACAGAGTGGCTAACAGCTCTTGAAGGAACTGGCAGCTCCTGGAAATGCAGCACTGTCATGATCCTCCAATGTGGAACAGCCATCATGGTCTCAGCATTTGAAGAGCAAAGGTAAACAGACAAGCCTCCATCACTTCATTCATTTACTCAAGCAAATGGATTTCCAGATACTGTAAGAAGGGCTGAGAAATGAAGGGTGAGCAAGATAAGACCTTTCCCCTTGAAGAGTTCATAGATTAGTGGGATAGACAGATATGTATACAGTGAGAAATAAGATTTCATAAACATATGTATAAAACATTTTCTTATAAAAACATGCACCAAAAGGAAATATGCCAAAAGTTAGCAGGGGTTATCTCTATCAGATGATTTTTCCCCTTTTAGCTTACTGTATTTTCAGAATTTTTCCTTCAATGTATATTTATTATTCTTGAAATGAAAAGAATCATGTACAAAGAACAGCACAATAAGATCCATGCTGTATTGGAAGTGTGCACAGTATTCTAAGAAAGCAACTAACATGTCTTGGGAAATGAAAAGAAAACCTTGCAATATCTTATACTGATATGTGTCTTTCACAAGCCAAATAAATGCATGTATGGCCTTGTTTGGATTCTGATCTCATCAAACCATCTGTAAAAATATTTATAAGGCAAGTGGGGAAATCTGAACTTTGACTGGATATTTGATGATACTGAAGTATTATTATTATGAGATATGATAAAGGTATTACAATAATGCTAGGAAAAAAGAACCCTTATCTTTTAGGTAAACATACTGATATGCTTGTGGGTGAAATGATATGAAGTTTGGGATTTTTACAGGTGAATATAAAATAAAACAGTGGTCATGAGTTAATGATTATTGAAACTGGGTAATGAATTCATGGAGTTTGTTTCAATATTTTTACTCCTTTTGTGTTTGTCTGAGACTTTCTACAATACAACATGCAATAATAATATAAAATTTTCTCTAAACAACCTCAAATATCTCCATCTTCAAGACTAAGCTTGAAAGGCATCTCCTACAGTGAATCCACGTGTAATCCATTGATCCTACAGATCAATCCATGTGTAACACTGATGAAGTTACTGTGCCTTGTATGTTGTTTATTTCACAAGCACCTGATCTGCTTCAATGACACTTGTCTTGCAACTTCAACATATATTTTTTAATGTTATTCAATGTTTCTGGTGTGCTTAGACATAACAATTGAATATTTTAATCTTTTTATGATTAAGGCAAGAGATCTTCTCTTTGAAACCTTTCCTGATCATTCACTCCATTATTTGCACCCCACCTGAACTTTGCATATACAACAGGGAACCCATAAACACTCTTGTGTTTATTTGTTCACTTATATTTAAGTGACATCAATGTGTAGCACATGAAAAGCATTCAGTAAATAGTTGTGGTGGTGCTTGTTATAATCACAGTCATTTCTCTCAGGCTATAAAACCAGCAGTGACTATATCTTACTTATCTTTGTATACTCGGCTATTATCTTAATACCTGGTACATTCTGAGTGCTCAATAAATATCCCTTAAGTGAATGAATGAATAAATGAAATTTAGGATTACTCTACTCATAGACCTATACTAAGTCTGGTAAAAACATCCATAAGACTGAAAAATGTAAATTAATTCATGCCTTAGAGTTTACCCCATGCTCCAGAGTTCATTTGGTCAGAAACATAACACATTCTTAGATTTAACACTTTGAGTACAAATGACAGAGAAAAGCCAAATACTTTTTTCATTTTTGGCAAACAATGCAATGTCCTCAATAGCTGTGAAAATGAAAGTCAATCTACTCTTTGCAACCCCATGGACAATACAGTTCATGGAATTCTCTAGGCCAGAATACTGGAGTGGGTAGCCTTTCCCTTCTCCAGGGGATCTTCCCAACCCAGGGATCAAACCCAGGTCTCCCACATTGCAGGCAGATTATTTACCAGCTGAACCACAAAGGAAGTCCAATAGCCATCCCTTACCTTAGTTGTGTCCTGAGACCCTCCCAACTGCAAACATACATTGTGGGGAGAGGCGAGTTAAAGGATGGGACATAGGATGGAGTGAAGCTGAGGGATTAGATCAGCGACAGAGTAAGTCTCCATGAATGGCTATTTCACCAAATTTTTGGTAATGTTTCTTAAAAGCTAAAAATACTTCATGACTTATTTTTTAGGCTATGTCAAAACATTCCTGGCATAAAATGATTTGATCAAGGCAGTCCAATGGTTAAGACTCTGTGCTTCCAAGAAGGGGGCTAGAGTTGGATCCCTAAGATCCCACATGCCGCACCATGAAGTTAAAAAAACAAACAAACAAAATTATTTGATCAAGACACATATTCAACTGTTCTCCACAATTACATTACAAGGTAAACAGAGCCTGCCACTTCTGTTTTAAAGAAGAGGAAAATAAGGAAATTTACTCTTCACTTGGATAGGATTTTAAATTGGGAGATTTAATTTTTTCAAATGCAGCCTACTGGGATACTAGTGTTATGTCACTACTGCTAAAAAACAACTGTTTGCTTTTATTTATTTATTTATTGTAAGGTAGAAAAAAATAGCTTTATTGCTTTGCCAGGCAGAAGGGGCATCAGGTGATGATGGGAGAACTGTGACCTTCCTTGGAATGAAGAGTGCTCCATCAAGTAGTTAACATCTTGAATTTGGTGGGGGCTTTAGTTCTGCAGAAGATCTCAAATATGTTATGTGTTTCCCTTGAGGGGGAACCTGGACCCTGTCCCCAAGTCTGCACTACTGTTCTTGACGACTATTTGTTTTCAAGTAGGTGCTAGATCCACTCTTTAGATTCTTAAAGTATTTGAGTGATATCCAAACTCAAAGCCCTTCAGAATGAGGGAGATTTGTTAGCTTGCTTGCTTGTTTGTTTATTTTTAGGTACTTGAACAACTAACTTGCTCCTTGAAAAGCAGGGATACAGAAATCAAAGGCCTGATTGTGCTGAATTCTTCTCTGTGGTCATTATTCAGACTAGTTCCCAGCATGCCACAGTCCAAAGGAAAGGGTCCAAGATCTGTTTAAAACTCAGAGACTAAACAACTTACTCAGCACCCTGCTCACATTGTTAGTGTTGCTTGTAGTCATTATTTTAAAGTCTCTTTTTGCTAGCTCCTTTCATGCAGTAATCTTAGGCTTCTGGAAATATTCTCAAAATATAGGAAGCACCTCCCTGACCTGGTTATGATGAAAAATGCTTTTCATGACTATCCCGTCTCTTCAAGGAATCTTGGAACAACCAAGTTCTTAGACATAATTGAATCCCAGGGAAGAATTTTACAGAAGTGCAGCGTTTTTCCCCCTCCCCTTTCCCCTTTTTCCTTTCTTTCTTTAAAGAGGGGTTTCCCATGGTGAGAAAGGGAAATTTTTTAATTGAAACTGACTCCTCTTGCTGCTCACCTACCCCTGACTGTTGAGGATATTCACTCTTAGGGGAACAAGCAACGTGTGTGTGTGTGTGTGTGTGTGTTCTGTTTCAGGATCTAGGAGAGTGACTGTGTTGCAGCAATCTATTTGAAAGAATGTCCCCTAAACATCCCAATTAAAAAGACTCCATAGAGCTGAGACAAGAGCACTAAGAGAGCCCTGTTATGTCAACCCAAATCACAAAAGGCACAGCTTTTCTGAGAATATAAGAATTATATCTGTCTTTTAGGTACAGAAGGTGGAATGGAAAGAAGGACTTTTTGGAGAAGATATCCCAGAATAATCTCAAAGCAGAACCCTTTGCCTAAGATTATCTAGCTTTCCTTAACAGGTGCACAGGCAGAGAAGGCACTTGGCCCCCGAGGTAACATTTACTTGGAAGGTTAGGACAATGATGTCCACGACCCTGATTGCAGGATCAGCCCTAGGACTGCGGCACAGAAAATACGCTAGCCCGTCTGTCGTCCCTCCCCCGCTTCCATTCGTGGAGGGAATTTGAGTAGCTTTGGAGTTGCTGACGCCATCCCTTCCCGCCTCTGACTCTCAGAGAGCATGCGCTTCCATCCTCACTTCCTCTCAAGGAGGGAGCGAGAATAAGGCGACGCCCAAGCCGACCCGCTGCCGGCTCTAGTCACAGGAACTTCAGCACCCACGGGACGGACAGCGCTCTCCTCCACCTGGAGACCTGAGTCCCGAGCGCCCACGGTCTAATTGATCCCTTTACTCCGGAGCCCAGCGGAGCTCCACTAGGCGCGGATCCCCGCCACTAGCCCTCCCCGCGCCCACTCTCCTAGCTTTTCCTGTTTTTACTCCTCCTTTTCATTCATAACAAAAGCTCCAGCTCCAGGAGCCCGGCGCCAGGCTGTTTCCGAAGCCAAGCGTGGAAGAATGGGTTTCCTTTGGACCGGCACTTGGATTGTGGTATTGGTGCTCCACAGCAGCCCAATTCAGGCTTTCCCCAAACCGGCAGGCAGCCAAGGTACGTGGACCCTTTTCTTCCCACCTCCCTTCTATTTTGCTACAGAAGGTAAAGCTTGATATAACGCGCGAGCTGTATATCACCGTGCCTCATTTTCTGATCACATGATATCCATGCACATTGACAAAGAAATCAGTTAGAACTTTGAGCCAGAAGACAGATTTTCCTCACTTTTTAGATGATAGAGCAGTAACATGGGTTGTTTTGAAAAATCTTATTTTGAAATTGGGAGGGGGTGGCTTTTCCGCCTATGGCTTCGTTGTTTGTTTTTTTCCCTAGTCATCTTACAACCTTTCTCAGATTTTCTGTTCATAACATGTTCAGTTAAAAAAAAAAAAAAAAAGCTTTTTAATGTGCCAATTCCAATCCAAATTATGTTCTGTCTCCTTGAAAACAGCTGGTAAACCAAGTGTTAGAACTCTGTTAGATTTCTGATCGGGGAAAAAAAGTGTAATTATATACACTGGGATAATAAGCAAGGCAATGCTGATAATCATTTTTATTGTATAATCTTATAATTTTTGTTAATATATATTTTTGTTCCACAGTCATCCAAAAAGATTTCTATTTTCTTTTTTGAAGATTTTATTTAATGAGACACATTGTCTTTCGAATACACAATTAAATTTGCAGTTGTGTGTGTTTATTCTAGACAAACCCCTACACAATAGAGAATTAAGTGCAGAAAGACCTTTGAATGAGCAGGTAAGTCAGAAGTAAATGCTATTTCATTTTATTTTAGTTATCACTATTTCATGTAATCATGCTGTGACCTTTTAGCCATTTTGAATTCACAGACCTCAAAACTTAATAATAAACTGACTGAAATTATGATGGGAAATATAATTTTGGTAATTTCTGTGTCCTGACAGTTGAATATAGAGAGTTCTGTATAAAACAAAGAGCTGACTGCATAAAAACCCAGTGAGCTCAACATCACATCCACTCTATTGTAAGATTTCTTAATTTATCAGAGATTTCTCTTTTACCAATATTATCAGAGAAAGGAATCAATATTTAGAGACTATTTGTTCTTTCTTTTATTTCATTTAATCCTTATGACAATACTTTGAGATAAAAAATATTATTTACATCTTACAAACAATAAAACTAAATCCCACAAGGATTAAATTATTTAGCTATCATATTTGGTAAGTGGTAGAGCAATGATTTAAAACCAGGTCTGTCTCCTGTTTGTTTCACAGATTGCTGAAGCAGAAGCAGACAAGATTAAAAAAACATACCCTCCAGGTAACAAGAAATGAGTTGATGCTAATCTAAATAATGTAGGCTGTGAGAAGCTTAACTAAAATGGATGTGCTGGGCTTGGGGGCTTTTCTTCCAGAAAACAAGCCAGGTGAAAGCAATTATTCCTTTGTTGATAACTTGAACCTGCTAAAGGCCATAACAGAAAAGGAAAAAAATGAGAAAGAAAGACAATCTGTAAAAATCTCCCCAAATGATAATAAATTGAATGTGGAAGATGTTGACTCAACCAAGAATCGAAGACTGATTGATGATTATGATTCTACTAAGAGTGGACTGGACCGTAAATTTCAAGGTAAATTTCAAGGTAAAATTCAAGGTAATTTCAAGGAAAAAGAACGTTTACTACCTATTTTCTCTAATCTGTAGTTTCCCATTATAGGTAAGATAAAGTCCTATACTTTGAAAATATCTCTTACACACTCACAATCCTTTATTAGTCCATGTCCAAAATTGAGAAAAGGCCTAAACTTAACTCATATCATGCACAATTCTAGCTCCACAGAAGCCCAGGTTTTATTGTCTCTTTAAAGGGTCCTTTGAGTTCATTTTAACATTCTACTTTAACTATAAATACAAAATATTATAATTCCCATATAATTAAATCAACAAAATACCCCCCTCACACACATTCCAAGGTAAAATACTTATTACTCTCTTTCCAGTGTTCTTCCTAGCTACAGCCTGTCTCCCTCGGCATTCTAACCTTTCCACGGCTTCAGTTCCCATCTATACCCTGATGTCTCATATCACTAGCCCAGACTTCTCTGAACTATAGACCTATAACTACCTACCAATTTAACATCTTCCCTTGGAAGTCTCAGAAGCACCTCAAACTTAACATGTCCAATATTAAACTCAATTTCTGTAAACCTTATAATTTAGCCCTCTTTCCTCTAGGAAAGGCACTACTATACATCCTATTTTTCAAGACAAATCTAGGAGTCAAACTATTTTTTTCCTTACCTCTCACATTCTAATCCATCAGTCTTATCAATTTTACTTCCTATGTGTCATCTCAATTTTTTTCCTCTATTACCAGTTACCTGCATCCTTTTCCAAGCTCCAATCATATCACAGCAAAATCTTTTAATGGATCTTCCAGCATTTGCTCTGACCCCCTCCAGCTTATTCATGTAGCAGCCAGAGTGATCTGTTCAACACACAAATATAAGCATGTTGCTCTTTGGCATAAAACCTGCTAATAGATTCCCATTTCTCAGGATAACCCCCAAAATCCTTAATGTGGCATCTACAGTCTTACATGGACTGTCTACTTCTCTGGTTTATCCAGCACATGATCTGATAGAAACCTTGTTTCTTTCCATCATGGCACTGATTGCAGTTTGTAATTTTACATCCCTGAGTGTGACTACTTATGATTTCTCTTTTTCCTCCTAAAATAAACTGAAAACTCCGTGAGAACAACGAGGCTGTAGTCCCAGTGTCTGGAGCTCATGAACTGATAAATGAACAAATGCACAAATAAGAGAATACATGAGGGAATAAATTAAATATTGTACCGAGGCATTGAGATCCGCCTCAATTCCTCAGTGTGTCTTCCATCCTGAGTACTGGTTCTTAGGAGTGACTATAGATTTTCTTATGTGTCTTAATTCTCTTCCATGGGCCACAAGAGAACTATACTGATTATCTCTGCCAGAAAACTGCTAATTAGACTTTTATAGGCTATCATAGCCTGAGGAGAATTGTGTTGTATATGTATAGGGTAGGGGAGATGGTGTTGCACACTACATGAAAACAGTTTTTTTGAATTCTGCTTTTTTTAACCTAAAATATTTGGGCTAGCAATAAATAGGTACTGGGTATAGCTGCATGCAAAACAGATGCAACCACTTGGGTTGAGTTGACCATTTAATAAAAATATAAAAATCATCTAATGTTTGTCTGACTGTTTTTTGGTCAGATGGGTTGTGCATGCAGATAGAGGTAGATTTGTTTGTGATCTGATCACTAACTTGAGCAACTTATTTTTAACATCGTTCAATATTTTAACATCCCAAATAGATTCTGAACTATCAAGTGCTAGCCTGATGGCTCTAGACTTGCTCTAGGGGTCATTTTAAGTCCACTTGAGTATATATAGAAGATTCTTGGAGAGAATGATTTATGAGTAAATAGCTAATCTTCTCTCATACCCTGGTAATCCTGGAATCAGAAGGTTTGGGACCACCCAGGTGAATAGAGCTTCAGAGACATACAATGCAAACTTTCATCCTAGTAGAGAGGGTGAGGGGCCTAACTTCTGCAGGGCACTTTTACACCTTTAGGAAACCTCTAAATGAGCTTGTGCTGGAGAACCCAACAACTCTCCTTCTCTGTGTTTTCTACAGTATGTGTGATTTAGGATTTTTCTAAGTTTCTTTTAAGAAATAGTGCTTTGGGGCTTCTCTGTGCATTCACCAAACAAATATTCATTGAGCAATTACTATGTATCAGACTATGAGCTAGACAGTAAGCTAGGGACCATGTCTTAACTATTTATCACTCTATTTCCAGTCCTAGCCCCTAGTAAGACTTTACTACTAATATATTGAATAAATGAATGTTAAGTGCCATATTAGTTCCTGGAAATTCAAACTCAACTGAGCAGATGATGGAACAAGGCCCTTTTATATCCACTTAGAACTGGAGCTGCTTTAAAAAGTTATAAATGTTGAACTCATCTTTGCTTCCCCTCTGAGGTCTATATAGGAGGGTGAAATACCCCTTCATGAGCAGTAGAGAAGTCATTCTGAGTAATTCTTTCCATTGTGGAGGAGCAGGGGAAATCATGGAAGGCAAAGAGCTTTGCCCCACAGTTCAGCTACTAACCCCGTCTAGCCAAGCTGTACTAGGGGAAACCTGAATTCTTGGCTCCAGAGAATCCAGCAGTGCAGGGAGGAAAGAGGCTACTTCTTTAGAGTCGTGCTAATGTTCTCCCTGTAGCAAAGTAAATGAACTGAAAAGCAGCCGTCTCAGTTATTTTCCAGCTTCAGCAGGCAACCACTATTCTTCCTTTTTCAGATCCCAAGGGATAAATGGGAAGGGAAATAAATTCTTCTAACTCTCCCTAGACCTGGGCAGTTTCTGCTTCACTTATTCCCCAGAGTCTGACTTGTAACCCACAAATGGAAAAATCAGACCTAAGTGACAGCGAGTCTCTGCTCTGGAAAAAATGGATGAGGAACCCAATTTTCAGTCAGCCAGGAGGGGAGCTGATTTTACAGGGTTTTCTAAGGGCCTTCTTGCTCATTAGTCACTCTAGTATATAGGACTCAAAGGCCTTGCAGCTCACCAGTATTATTCAGCAATAATACACTGTCAGAGCACTCCCAGCCCTCCATGGGTAATCACCCTGCTTACTTTCCTAAACTTCCTTCCAAACAACACAAAGATGATATTCTGCCTGAGGCGGCATTCCCTTCCATCTTTGCAGAGTCTGGGAAAATCTATGAATCCCCACGAGCTACAAAAGAAAAAGAACCAGAATAGAAATATGTACCAGGTTCTTCTTTCTTTGAGTGAATATGTTCAGAATTATTTGGACAGAATTTGGCTAGGGATTCAATGTCTATTTTCTCTAGAAGATAACTGCAGTTCCTTTATTTCAGGTGCAAATCCACTGTCCGTAGTAACACAACTACATTAACTTTCATATGATACTTGGCAATTTAAAAGGTGCTTTTACATCTTACCTCATTTGATCCTCAGAATCCCATGAAATACATGCTCTTAATAACTTCCATTATAGTGGTCCAAGAATATATAAATAACAAGAGAGATCATTGGAGCTAAATTTCGGATCTTTCCAAGCTGCCTAGAGGTGACAAGAGGAGTTAAGTGCCTTGTAAACTTGCACATATGACTATCCTGTTCCAGGGGGTATAGATTGTTGTTCAATTGCTCAGTCGTGTACAACTCTTTGATACCCCATAGACTGCAGCACTCCAGGCTTCCCTGTCCTTTACTGTCTCCCAGAGTTTGCTCAAACTCATGTGCATTGAGTCAATGATGTAATATAGATTGGAAAAGACCAATTGCTTCCTGGGAGTGCTCTGTGGGATATGGTGCTGTTCTTCCTTGCCACCAACCCTACTGTATCCTTCCTTTTCCTCAGGATGGGCCCTTGCTTTAGTCTGGAGTGGTACTGCCAAACGTACTCCCAGGAAAGCCAAGCATACATGTCTGCAAGCTTCTCTGCAGAGGCTTCCATAGATTTACATATGGTATTGTGCAAATCTGTTATCACATTTTAAAAGTTTAAATTTCAGGGACATAAAATAAGTTCCTTATTCTCTGGAGAAAGAGTTGTCACATTAAGCTGCCTTACATAAAGGTGCCCTGATACCTGTTCACAAGTGAACAGTTATTCCAAGTAAGTCACAAAATCTTCAGTACATACTCTTTGATTCTGGGTGTGAGGCAGGTTCCCCCTCCCTCAGCCCAGGAATTTGCCTGCAAAGGGAGTACATGTGCAGATAATACCTGTCTACTCCTTGTGTGGAAATGGAATCTCAAATTATGTAATATGTAGAAGAGTGCTTTGAACAATAAGGCATACTATCTATTGGTATTTTACTTTTTGTACTATTAGCACTAAAAATGGAGAGGCCTTTTGTGTTGTCTTCAGATCTTCCTCTTATAATCATATAAGAAGCTGTCAGAACTTCCATTACCATCCTAAATTCTTAACTTGAAGTCAGATTTTATTTCAAACCAAGAGTTTACATGGACAAAGCCTCACCTTAAATATATTCCAAGCATACCTGAGTGTACAAGATTCAGATTATAAATCTAATGTAATCCAAGAAATAGGCCTGTGATCACCACAATGTGAAGTTGTGATTGCTCTGTCTAGATGATCCAGATGGCCTTCATCAACTTGATGGCACTCCTTTAACTGCTGAAGACATTGTCCAGAAAATTGCTACCAGGATTTATGAGGAAAATGACAGAGGAGTATTTGACAGGATCGTTTCCAAACTGCTGAATCTTGGCCTAGTAAGTCATATGCATGAGAGCAAACCAAATTTGTACAGTTTGGAACATGCTAAGAAGCCAAACCACTTGATTCAAAGAGTCAAATGTTTATAATGTGTCTACTTTATACCAGTCACCATGAGTTTCAAGGACAAGTAAGACTCCATTCTTTCCCTCTAGGAATTTATGGTTTATCAGAGGCACTAGACAAGTACACACATTCTCATACTGCAAGTTGTGTAAGAACCATCAGAATAGTTTAGTAATCCAGAAGATGGATTATATCCAGTTAAGCAATAAGGAAAAGATTCAGAGGAGGAGGTGTTTGAAGTGAGTTTAGAAGGATGGTTAGGATTTAACCAGAAGAAATGTTTTTAAAATGTGTGAGGTGAGAAAGAAATAAGATGTGCAAAGCCATGTAGTGATTGGGAAGCCCTACACAATCCAATCTGACCCTGCCCGTGCCCCGTCTTGATTCTCAGGCACATTAATACAGTCCTGGCAGGCTTTAGGAGGGCACTAAATTTGCAGGTGTCAACAGTTACCTACTATGACCTGCACCTGAGGGGTGAGAACAACTTGAGGATTGCTTTCTGTGGGTTCCAACAGTAAAGACTGCCTCTTCCCAGGAGTGCTGGGCAGTCACTGTGACAGTCAGTGTGTTACTAGGGGCATAAACAAGGGAGGTTCAGAAGATGGACCAGAACATTCTCTTGTCTTCTAAAAATATGTGTTCAGCTAAAGAGTTTAGTATTTTTAAACCACAAAACTAGAACTAACAGTTATATATATTTTAACTTTTTGTAACAGATTACAGAAAGCCAGGCACACACACTGGAGGATGAAGTTGCAGAGGTTTTACAAAAATTGATCTCTAAGGAAGCCAATAATTATGAAGAGGAACTCAATAAACCAACAAGCAAGACTGAGAGTCAGACTGTAAAAATACCAGAGAAAGTGGTAAGTATATGCAAATACATATGCATCAATTATGTATGTGTGTATATGCATGTGCATGGATGTGTGTACTTGCATTTGTATGTAATGAATACAATCCTTTTATAATTAATACTTTAGCTGGTGCCAAATAAGATTTGGGGTATGTGACATTTTTAGTCCACTTAAAATATATTGTAATGAAACACCAATGAGTTAAAAGATATAAATGAACTCCACTTTGAACATAATGTAAAAATTCATGTTATATGACATAGTAAAGATTATGTCTTATACCCCAGAGTAAAATAACACATATTATGTGAAATGGTTATCTCACATACAATTCATATAATCCCAGTGCACTGGATTCAAATGTTTCACAATTCTTGGTATCCAACTTCTGTTCACAGTGGATGTCATCATTTGCCCTCAAACCACCCCCCCAAAAAAACTTGGGTTGATCTGATATTTTTCCATACCAGCTTTTTAAAAAGCGTTTTATTTTGTATTAGGGTATAGCTGATGAGCACTGTTGTGATAGTTTCAAGTGGGCAGCACAGGGGCTGCCATATGTATGCATGTATCTATTTTCCTGAAAACTCCGCTCCCAACCAGGCTGCCATGTAACACTGAGCAGAGTTATCTGTGCTATATAGTAGGTACTCATTGGTTATCCATTTTAAATATGGCAGTCCTCAGCAACTTTTACATTCCTCAGAGCTAGCTGCCTCATGCTGCCTCTCCGTCTACACTGTGTTCTTCTACCTGCTGCTTCCTCTTTCCATTGACTCAGTGGTCTGTGTCGTCCTTTACTTAGACTTGCCATTCAGTCATCTTTCATCTCCTTGAACTCCTTACCTCTTCATCTTTTCTTTGGCCTTAGCCAAGCTACTAAAATCATTCACTTCTCCTTGAATTCTTTTAAACTTCTATTTGGAGCCAACCATAGGGGGGTATAAGAGAATATCAAACTCCTCACCTCTCCTTTCATTTTCTCCACCAGAGCGCCCACACCCCATGACTCCTCATCCCCTCCGACACCCTATCACAAATACAAGGGAAAACTGGTTTATAGACTTATAGTCCTGTTTTAGGGGAGGCTAGAGAATAGAAATTGGTATGAATTGTTCTCTTTTTACTAGGTAGGTTAAAAGCTCTCCTTTGTTCTCCCTACTTCCAATCTCCACCATCTGTCATCTTTTAAAACAGCTTTGGAAGATCCACCCACCATAAAAAAGTTTTCTAGACTTACCACATAACTCATGGCTTTCACTCAAGCTTACCTGACATAGCAATTTTGTTCCTTCACTCCCATTATGTACTCCTTACTTCTCATCTCTAAAATGTCCATATGCATTAATGAAAACAAAATTATTCTTCCAATAAATATCTATTGAGATACCACCTATGTACCAATCACTGGGGACACAATGCTCATTTAGAAAGGTATAATCCCTGTTTTCATGAAGCTTAAGGTCTAAAGGAAGAGGTAGATGGTCTTCAAATGGTCATGTATTTTAATTCAACTGTGTTAAATGCTCTGAGAAAAGAAACATGGTTCTGTAAAACCTCATAAAAAAGGAACCTGTCTTGGACTTAGGTTGGGGAGGCTTCCTGGAGGAGATGACCTGAGCCAAAAGCTGAAGTTAGGCATTAACTAAACAAAATAGGCTTTAGTAATACTTGAACCGTGAACTTCCAGATGTTCAGCTGGTTTTAGAAAAGGCAAAGGAACCAGAGATCAAATTGCCAACATCCACTGGATCATCAAAAAGGCAAGAGAATTTCAGAAAAACATCTATTTCTGCTTTATTGACTACACCAAAGCCTTTGACTGTGTGGATCACAATAAACTGTGGAAAATTCTGAAAGAGATGGGAATACCAGACCACCTGACCTGCCTCTTGAGAAACCTATATGCAGGTCAGGAAGCAACAGTTAGAACTGGACATGGAACAACAGACTGGCTCCAAATAGGAAAAGGAGTATGTCACGGCTGTATATTGTCACCCTGCTTATTTAACTTATATGCAGAGTACATCATGAGAAACACTGGGCTGGAAGAAGCACAAGCTGGAATCAAGATTGCCAGGAGAAATATCAATAACCTCAGATATGGAGATGACACCACCCTTATGCAGAAAGTGAAGAGGAACTAAAAAGCCTCTTGATGAAAGTGAAAGAGGAGAGTGAAAAAGTTGGCTTAAAGCTCAACATTCAGAAAACTAAGATCATGGCATCTGGTCCCATCACTTCATAGGAAATAGATGGGGAAACAGTGGAAACAGTGTCAGACTTTATTTTGGGGGGCTCCAAAATCACTGCAGATGGTGATTGCAGCCATGAAATTAAAAGACACTTACTCCTTTGGAAGGAAAGTTATGACCAACCTAGATAGCATATTAAAAAGCAGAGACATTACTTTGCCAACAAAGGTCTGTCTAGTCAAAACTATGGTTTTTACAGTAGTCAAGTATGGATGTGATAGTTGGACTGTGAAGAAAGCTGAGTGCTGAAGAATTGATGCTTTTGAACTGTGGTGTTGGAGAAGATTCTTGAGAGTCCCTTGGACTGCAGGGAGATCCAACCAGTCCATCCTAAAGGAGATCAGTCCTGGGTGTTCATTAGAAGGACTGATGCTGAAGCTGAAACTCCAATATTTTGGCCACCTCATGCGAAGAGTTGACTCATTGGAGAAGACCCTGATGCTGGGAGGGATTGGGGGCAGGAGGAGAAAGGGACAACAGAGGATGAGATGATTGAATGGCATCACCGACTTGATGGACATGAGTTTGAGTAAACTCCGGGAATTGGTGATGGACAGGGAGGCCTGTCATGCTGTGATTCATGGGGTCGCAAAGAGTTGGACATGACTGAGTGACTGAACTGAACTGAACCTGAATAGGAGTTAACAAGAAGTGAACCAGGAGTTAACAATAACTGAATAGGAGTTAACTTGTGAACATGAAAGGCAATATGTAGAGAAGGATGTGTGGAGTACCCAAATAACTGAAACCAGACAGTGTAGCTACTACATATTTTTTAAAAAGATAACCTTGGCTACAACGTGGAAAATGAAGGGATGGGAATACATTGGAAGGTAGTTGTGTACCAGTTAGAAAGGAAGAAGTGAAGGTAGCTTGGACTAGAGTGGGACAGTGAAGAAAGAAATGTACAAATTTGAGATAAACTTAGAAAGTGTGGCCAATAAGGCTATTGATGGATCAAATGTAGGGAAATGAAGAGGAAGAGGCAAGCAAAGTTCTTACATTTCTGTCTAACTCACTAAGTGGAGAATGGATCATTAAGATAGGGAACATTGTCTACACATCAGGTCTGGGAAAAAGAATCCTGTGTACCCTCACAGACAGGCTTTAAAATGTCACCCAGAAATCTCTAATGTATGACACTCTGCTAGTATCAGACATTGTGACAGGCTTTCCTGTGTCTTGGCACCATCCCTCTTGGTAGATTCTAAAACTCAAAGTTTCTTTCCTTAGTGAAATGAAGTTTTATGAAAAAGCACTCATGAGTATTGGTGAAGGGAAACCTGGCCAGAACAGGAACCTGCCTATTCTCCCTGGAGCAGGATTCAGGGTCTTCATGTAAAGCACCTGTCTCTTAATCTTAATACCCTTCCCATGTGACTTGATGCCCACATGCCTGGAAAAGAGTTTGATCTTGTGAAGGAAGAGGTGTTCGTGCACTTCAAATTCAAGAGCATCACAGAGGAGTGTCCATTAGTTCTAACAAAATGTTTATTTTGTACTGATTTCCCCCCCCCCCCCAATGGAGACTCCAATGGCAGCAATTCAAGATGCTTTTACTAGTGGAGAAAATGATGAAACAGTATCTAACACCTTAACCTTGACAAATGGCTTGGAAAGGAGAACTAAAACCTACAGTGAAGACAACTTTGAGGAACTCCAGTATTTCCCAAACTTCTATGCACTACTGAAAAGTATTGATTCAGGTAAACATTGTTTTCTGATCATGTGAAACAGAAACAGTAATTCCAGGAAATGTGTGGGTGGGTTTTTTTTCTTCCTGTTTTCAGTTTCTAAATTCAACCATCAATGACATGTATTATGGCCTCGGGGAAAATGGTTCTCATTGATTTTTTTCAAAAGAAGTGTACTAGTCATGGAAATATTTAGGAAAGGATAATCAGGAAAGGTGGGATTTCTGGATAATTTAATCTTCATGTTAACAGAGGGTTCATTTATTTGTTCAATAAACAGGTATTGAACACATGTTGTGTTCCTGGTATTGGAGTGAACCTTGTACCCGTGTAGGGATGAATCAGAGAGTGTTCCCGGCCTGACCCAGTTCAGCCAAAGCTTTTATTGCAAATCTCTTTAAGGTTTTATTTTCCTCCTTCAGTAGAACAGTGTATGGAACATAATTTATTATTTTTAAATGATATAGAATTTTGCTTTTTAGATATTTTCAACTTGTCTTCAAATGAATTGAAGTGAACTAAACATTGGACTAATGAAGGTCAGGAGCTCAAAACACAGTTGGGAAATGATTTGCTTTTCTAAAAAATGAAATCCTTAATGTAGTGTTCTCTTTTCTAAGTGCACCAAAATGAGTTGATGGAAGATTTCAGTTCATGTTTGTTTTTGGTTAATCTGCAAGGAGGATAATAATGTGCCAATTTTCTGTTGTTGTTATTGTCTAGATAGATGCCCTGTACTGACTTATGGCTTTTCTTCCTCCTGTTTAAAGATTCATCCTCAGACTGAACATTTGTAATAAAGATTTCTGTAATTGTAATGTATTTTCCCAAGAAGTGACCTTAGAGTGAGCTTTCATTTCTGGAGAACATCCTTTTGTCCTTCAGTCCCAGACACTGACCAGATGGCACCCAGCCCCCCTGCTGGTGTCTGCAGGGCTTATGCATCTTGAGGGTCCATTCTGAGCCTCTTGCCCTACTGGTTGGCAGATACCCAGCTCAGAACCTCTGTCATCTTGGTGAGTCACTTCTTGTTAGTGAAGTGCATCAGCATGATACTAAATATTTTTATGGATATGACCTTGAGCAAATAATGTGACTGCTGAAGTTATCGTTTACCTGCACTTCCCAGGACTTCTCTCCCCCATCTCTTCTCCCACCCTCTTCTCTCCCGTTTGTGACTATTAAATGGTATTTCTCAGATTCCATCATATGGAATATTTTTTATTTTATGTGCTTTAGTCTTTTCCGTTTCCTTGACCCCATTCCCTCTTGCCTTTATTTTTATAAACTTTGAAATACTTATACTGAGGGCTTTGATACTACCCATCTTTTTCACTCAAGGTCTGATCCAATTGAGAAATAATAAAACAGAAGATAAAAGTATCTTCGATACTGATACAGACTAGGTTGTAGAATGTAGCTTTGTGTGAGAACCAGCAGTGGGCTTGCCTATTCCCTACCCCTCAGTCTACCTCTCAGAACAGCTCCAGTCCTAGAATAGTTGGAGTTTATAAACCAGGCCTGTTTTCCAGGTCCCTGCCTTCCACTGTTGCAAAGCAGTGGAAAGAAGATTCCAAATGCCCAGCAGTCAAGAAATGTAGACTAATGGCTGTTGGCTACCAGCCCCATCTGTGAGAAGGCTGAAAAGTTGGGAGGAAAGGCTAGAAGAAGTATGCAGAGAAAATCCTTCATGGCAGCAAAAAGAGTAGGGAAGCTGTCCTCTAGCAACACAAGTTTACTTTTCTTCAAAAATGGAAATAGCTTTTTTTTCCTGATTTTAGAATTAATGCAGCCACTGAACTACTATGGAATCACTGGTCACCTTGTTCTATCAAGATACAGAACAGTATGTCAAATATGAAGTTTCCAAGAAACTGTTAACAGTGGTTAATCTATAGGAAGTTAACCTATAGTGGTTTTGCTCATAGGAAGTGAGCGTTGGGGGGAGGGGGAAGAAGAGAATATTGTGTTCATTGTTTACTTCTGTACCATTGGAATATTTTTCACGATTTGTGTATATTCTTTGAAATGAAATTGAGGTTAGAAAGCAATATATACTCATGTTAAAAAATCAACCTTGCATTTAAAAACTAAACATACATGTGTGTTCCTATTTCAAATATTAAGCTTGATTAATGAAAAGAGGTCATCTTGCCCTCAAAAACATATGAGTAGAGAAGGGTTATTGGGTTACCAATCTTCTAACTTTCCTTTGAGTTTCTATTATTCCTGGTTGCAAACTATATCATCTACTCTATCAATAAAATATTCTAGATTATGGTAAACCTCTTTGGAAAAGTTATAATTACTCATTTGTGAAAAAATTAAGTATATCAGTACATTGTCCTATATTCCCAGTCAAGACGTGGGCTTTTCATAAATATATTTTAGCTATAAATGGTTTAGCTATAAATGTAGGGAGAACTATTTCAATAAGATGCTGTACTTCATAAATTAACATTAAAAGATGAAACTATATGCCACCATTTAAAAAAATTATTTTGTCCTTTTATATAGAAAAAGAGGCAAAAGAGAAAGAAACCCTGATTACTATCATGAAAACCTTGATTGACTTTGTGAAGATGATGGTAAAGTATGGCACCATATCTCCAGAAGAAGGTGTTTCCTATCTTGGTGAGAGTCCTTTCTCTTTTGTTTTCACAGTGGCTAGTTTTCATTGTCCAAAATGAATGCAAGATTTGGGAATAATTTTACTAACTTGATCATTTATATCAAAATAGCCTGACTCATCTGGGTTACCAGAATTGCCCAGCTTGACAATGTCTACAAATAAAATTAACCTGACGTTTTCAATTCTTTATAGATCCAGTTCAACTACAAACATTTCACCTCTGTTGTATTCTGTTTTACTAACATTTTCTAATAATTTCCTCAGAGATAAAATTAAAATTTGTCTTTTTTTCAATTGTGTTCACATGGTTGGGGGTAAACGTCTTGATTTTAACCAGTGGGGTCTGTGTGTGGTGAGGAGGAAGGAGCACTGGATTGGGCAGCAGAAGCTCTGCCTCCTGCTCCCAGCTCTGCCTCAGACCACGTCTGTCATGCTCAGGAGAGCATCCATCTTTCTGGACCTCAGTCTTGTATCTGTGAGATCAAAGACTCTGTTACCTGTAACAGGGGCTGGTAAACTATTGCTTATGGGCCCAATCTGTCCCATGACCTATTTTTGTATAGCACACAAACTAAAAATAACTTTTAAATTTTTTTAATGGTTGAAAGAAAGTCAAAAGAAGAATAGTATTTTGTGACATGAGAAAACTAAACAAAATTCAGACTTGAGCATCGGTAAGTAAAGTTTTACTGGAACAGACATGTTCCTCTGTTTTAGTGTTGACCATGGGTGCTTTTGTGCTATGGTGTCAGAGTTGAGTAGTTGAGATAGAGACTGTGTGGCCCACAAAGTCAAAAATATTTACTCTTTGGCCCTTTATAGAAAACGTTTGTCAACCCTTGATTCCTTGAACTTTATAGATAAGTTGAAACAATCTTTGATTCTGCATTCAAGATGTTAAAAGAAGAAAAGAAGAAGAAAAGGCTTTTGTTTTCCTGCTTTGGTTTAGTTAATTAACAAATACCATTCATCTTAGATGTCCTTTGGGCAAGATGAACTCAGGGCCCCTTACTCTGATCACTGACAGGGGAGGGAGAATTAAATGGAAGAGAAGATATCGTAGAACAGAGTAATCCAGAGTTATTCTGTATAAATGCCATTTTTTCTACATGAAAACTAGTTTTACTTTTTTTTCTGATTATAAAAAGAATATATTTATCTTTAAAAATAGTCAATGCAAAAAGATGTTAAAAAGACAGTGAAAAATCACTCATAATACTAGCATCCAGGTAACATTCTGATTTATATCCTTTTAGATATTTTTCTGTATGTGTACACACATACATACCTGTGTCATTTTTTTTTCTAATGGGCTCAAGTTACACACCATGCTTTGTGGCCTACTTTGCCCACTTAACAGTAGATCAAAAACATTGCTTCAAACCAATCACTGTTTCATGTTAATACCTGATGACTCAGAAATTCCACACTTAAGTCATTTATCCTATGAAAATAAATTAGATCTGCCACAAAGTCTTGTGTGCAAGTCAGGTATTTCTACTATTTTTTTTTTTCAATTTTTAAGAATTTATTTTATCTTGGAAATTGTGAACACTGAACTACAGTTTCACAAATTAGCAAGAACACTGATTCTTACCCTTTAAGAGCATAATTTAAACAAATAAAGTATTTTTTTAAATTGGGGTTTAGTTGCTTTACAATGTTGTGTTGGTTTTTACTGCACAGTGAAATGAATCAGCTTTATGTATACATGTATCCCCCTTCCCCGGACCTTGTTTTTTATTTTTATTCCACTATTATTTATAGGTATGCTGTCCAATGTGATAGTCACATATTGCTTTTTAAATTAACAATAAATTAAAATTAAGCAAAATGAAAAATCTAGTTTCTCATTTGCTCTAGACACATTTGAAGGTCACAGATAGCTTGTGGCTACCATACTGAATAGCACAGAAATGAGTATTTCCATCATTGCAGAAAGTTCTATTGGACAGCACTGGCTTATAGAAACAAAACAATGGAAATAACCTTGCTAGCCCACAAGAGGAGACTATCTAAATTATTTATTCTTACTTAGACTAAATTTTATTTGTAATATTTGTGTTTTTAATAATTGTATGTTTATAAACAACAAATACGGTTCAGAAAGACTAAGGACATAGGGAAATGTTCATGATATAATGTTGGATGCTTAAAGCCATTTAGAACATAACCTTAATTTTGGTGTTAAAAAATGGATATACTGGGAGGGGATTTATGTATACCTATGGCTGATTCATGTTGATTTCTGACAGAAAATAACAAAATTCTGTAAAGCAATTATCCTTCAATAAAAAATAAATAAATTTTTTAAAATGGACATACATAAAGTTGGAAAGAATTATACTAAAATATGATCTGGGCAAAATAAGTGGTATTTTTTTCTTTATAATTTTCTTATCATTTTCATGTATAACTTTTACAATCAGAAAATGAGTTGTACGTAAAGAATTTTCTGTCCAAGCATGTTGGCTTTTGACCTCCACTGCCATGGAGGTATACTCTCAGACTCCTGGGGGCTCAGATGCAGCGTGGGTAAAAGGGAGAGAATTAACTAACCTCTTCTCCTGCATCGCAGCATGTGACAATGATCAGTGGTCTACACTTCTGTTCTGGTCCCAACAGTATGTGGTGACTACAAAGGTTGCCAGCTGTGGTTGCTATTTCAAAAAAGAAAGCAGAAGGCATCACACGATAGAATATACTGATTTTCATCTCAAAACAGGATGGGGTAGGGTAGAAGGAAGAATTTTCTTGAGGAGAAGTAACACAAATAATGGAATCTGTGTAGACTAATTATAAAGAAATGCTTGTTTGCACATAGCCCTGTCCTACTAGTGAAATGGATATCTGACTGGTTAAATAAACTGAGTACCAAGGGTATGGATTCAAATTCACTGCTGCCTTGAAATGGTCACAGTCTAGATTCCTATCTGGTAACACCTACAAGATGTTACTCTAAAGAGCAGAATTAGGACAAAGACAAGAATACAGATTTCGGCTTAATAGGAGTAGAGAAATTCTCACCCTTAAGACACTTAACATGATGGAGGTCTTAGCTAACTCTTGGGAGTAATCATTTTGCAGAATATAAGTGTATGAAATCAACAAGTTGTATACCTTAAACTTACACAGTGCTCTATCTTAATGAAAATAAAAATTTTAAGACTAACAATAGAACTAGCTGCCTCATAGTGAGGGCCCCGAGTGACAGAAATCCAACTGTTTGGCTATGCAAAAAGGGAATTTATTTCCTTATGTAACCAAAAAGTCCAAGGGGGGGGGTAGTCTAGCTACACGTTTGTGAAGCCCACCAAAGTGTGAGAATCCGTTCCTTCTCCGTCTCACTGACTCTCTGAATTTTGATTCATTCCATGTAAGCAACTCCATTATGAAACAAAATGGCTGGCAAAGCCTCAAACTCACATCTTCATGGTATACCAATCCTCGTGGAAAGAGAGCATCTTTCTCCTAGCATTGAATCTCACTGGCCGGGCTTAAGTCATCTGCTTCTCCTTGAACTATAGCCCAAGGGATGGGGGAGGCAGACCTGGGTTATTCATGGATTGTACCTCACCAGGCTCATCTGTCCATGGAATTCTCCAGGCCAGAATACTGGAGTGGGTAGCCATCCCCTTCTCCAGGGAATCTTCCCAGCCCAAGGATTGAACTGGGGTCTGGGCTTCCCTGGTGGCTCAGCTGGTAAAGAATCCTCCTGCAATGCGGGAGACCTGGGTTTGATCCCTGAGTTTGGAAGATCCCCTGGAGAAGCAAAAGGCTGCCCACTCCAGTATTCTGGCCTGGAGAATTCCATGGACTGTATAGTCCATGGGGTCACCAATAGTCGGACATGACTGAGCAACTTTCACTTTCTCCCACATTGCAGGTAGATTCCTTACCATCTGAGCCACCAGGGAAGCCCATTCAGCCACCACTGGAGCCAAATATACTGAGAGTGGGAAAGCTGTGGGCTTTCCAAAGGAAAATCAAGATGTAGTTACCAGGAGGTATTGAGTAGACCAAAACCACAGGTGTTCATTATAGTCCCAACCCTGGATGTGTTCTAGCACTGGCCAGAAATGTGGAAGAGGCTTCTGCAACTGACTGACTAGGATGCTGAACTTGAGGACCTCTAATTGTATGCCTTTCCATCCTGAGAGTCAATGATTTCTAGAACTATAATCCATATCAAAGCATCTTACTAGCAGTGTTTTGCTTTTTTGTTTCATTTTGGTTTGGGCTGCACTGGGTCTTCTTTGCTCTGTGCAGGCTTTCTCTGGTTGTGATGAGAAGAGGCTACTCTTCACTGTGGGGTGTGGGCTTCTCGTTGTGCTGGCTTCTGTTGGTGCAGAGCTCAGGCTCTAGACAAAGAACTCAGTTGCTGTGATGTATGAGCTTAGTTGCTCCTCGTTTGTGGAATCTTCCCTGACCAGGGATTGAACCTGTGTCCCCTGTATCGGCAGGCTGATTCTTATCCACTGTACCACCAGAGAAGTCAACTAGCATTGTTAATATTGTGGAATTGCTATTGTGATATTTCAGGTGAGATTTAAACATTTTTAGTAGAATTTTGAAATCATCTTTCAAGACATAACATTTTATTTCTTCTCCTCCCTCTTCCAGAAAACCTGGATGAAACAATTGCTCTTCAGACCAAGAATAAACTAGAAAAAAATGTTACTGACAATAAGAGCAAACTTTTCCCAGGTATGATTTTACTATTTATTTTCCAGCTTTTAGCAAAATAACCCTTTTGAGGGGTAAATCATAAATGTCAGTAAATATTGGTAAAGAATTACAGATTTCAAAAAGTGTGAACATCTGAAATCCAACCGAAGGGTTAAGTAGCTATAACCTTGGCCAGTTTCACTACAGAATCTGATCCCAAGAAGCACTGAAATGAAATGAAGGCTTTACTGAAGATTTTTAGGTGGTGGTTTGTTGGTAAAGATGAGAACTGTGTCACAGGTTAAACAATCCTTTCTAAAATTCTCCTTTAGGTATCTTTTTCTCTGCCCAGATCACCAGCACCCAGACCACTGTCCCTGACCCTCTGTCCCCTCTCTGCTGTTCCCTTCCTTGCTGTCCACTGCTCTCTCCTCTGGGACAGTCTGTGCCCTGTGTGGTATGACTTATGCCCTTGTCTCAGTTTCTTCACCCCTACATCTCCACCCATCACCCTGCTTAGCATGTCTAATGCCATGGGGTAGCCTTTCAGGGATGCAAGATGGGCAAAAAGAGAAAAGATTGCAAACTCTTATACTTTAATTTTGTGTCCCTACCACAGAGGTTATGTACATATATTTGATAGAATACATACCCCTTTAAAATGATGTTTTCAAGCAGTTTTTAGTAACCTGGAAACATTGTTCCATAATGATGCTAATGACAAAAGCAAGGAACAAAATTGTACAACTAGGAAAAAATTATGCATCAAAAATATATATATATATACACACACACACACACACACTCCACACCACAAAACTAGTGGATATTTTACAAAATAAGACAATAACTGATTTCATTTTTCCTATTTTTCTGTAGTAATAAACCTTTTATTGAAAAAAAAAAAGCTTATCATTAGACTGCTTGATGTTCCCTAGTTTACTGATCACAGCAATGCATTACAGTTGTTTTCAAGGGGTTACTTACTTCATGGTTTGATTCTTTAATTCAATATAACATTTTTAGAAAGAAATAGAGGTTTTTTTGGCCATGTTGTGTGACCAAATTGTGGGGATACTAATTCCTCAATTAGAAATCAAATATTTGTCCCCTGCAGTGGAAGCATACGGTCTTAACCATTAGATCACCAGGGAAATCCCACAAATACAGTTATTTTAAGTGAGAAATGAGCAAGGATTATTATTGACAGCAAGGGTCCAGTTCTCTTCTTTGTGTTAGGGTGACCAGGGGTAAGGAAGTGTGAAGAAAGAGGCAGGAGAGAAGTCCAGCCACAGCCCCAAACCCTTATATGTTATTCTAACACACTGTTCTTCAAAAATAACATTGAGGAGAGATGGGGCAACTACAGTTATTTTCATTTGAAATCAAGGCTCAATACTTTGGAAACTGACATATCTCACTTGAGTATCTTTGTTGATTAAAATAAGGAGAATAACACAGTGTGGTAGAATGAAAAAAAACACAACCAGAATCCAGAAAACTGGGAGTGAGGGAGTTGGCCCAGCTTTTCTGCCAACTCAGTGGCTTAGCACATCCCTTCGGCACATCTCTCCCCTCTTTGGGCCTCAGTTTCCTCTTCTGTCAAATGGGGAGTGGGAGGAGTCAGACTAGGTAATCAGCAAGATCCTTCCAGCTCAAAAAATGGTCTGACCTCAAACTATACTATTTCAATAAAATTCATTTCTACACTGGGAATTAATACATGAAATAGGGTTATAACAGTGTACAATCTGATTACAGTGCCATCAGAGAAGAGTCATGAAGAAACAGACAGTACCAAGGAAGAAGCTGCTAAGATGGAAAAGGAATATGGAACCTTGAAGGATTCCACAAAAGATGATGACCCCAACCCAAGAGGAAAGACAGATGAGCCCAAAGGTATGAAATTGACAGCTCTATGTTAACAATTAAATTGGGGAAGCAAACTTTCACTTGAAGGTTGATCCGAAAGGCAAAGTCCCACCAAATCTGAGAAATTAGCACTGTCTGTATAGAAAAGAGTCAGCATGTGGTACTTTATTTGAATAGAAATCTTTTTTAATGGCCTTGAGTCTTCTGGGATGGCAAATTGGTTTCATCTCTTGATGGTCTTTAGTGTCCAGTGGGCTTCTATGCTTGGGGAGAAACATTCATGACCATTTGTGCGTTGTTCAATGTCTAGTTTCTGAACTTATAAATTAAGCAATTTTTATTTAAACATAATTGACACTCCTCTAAACAGTCATATACTACTTATTCAACAAAGTCATCAAAATTTACGGATTTAACAAAGCAGATTTGCTTAATCATTTATAGTGATTGCAACCTGAAACTTTCAAAAACTTGATGAATAAATCAAATATATCAAATTTCCTTAAATAACCTACTTAAAAAAGAAAAAAAAAGCACTACACTAAACTAGCTCAATAATTATAAAACCTGTTTTTGTCCTTATTCTTACACATTCCTGGGGTTCAGTTTTTACTCAGCTCTAGTAAGTCTATATAATCTTCTTAGGTTTTGAGACACATTACCATACCCTCAAAGAAAGATACTCTGTTAAGTTGCAAGTTCAAAATCATTAACCCTCAGATTTCAGGTAATCATGTGGAATCTGGATGCATAGTCCAGTGTTTTGAGCCCCTTTAATTACCAAGTGTGCTGGTTATATCATGGAAAATTTATATCTGTTTCTCAGATATTCTTTTTCTGAAACTCAGTGTCTTTACCAGAAGTTGTGAACAGATGGCTTAAACCTACTTTTTTTTTGTCATTATGATATATTGAACTCTTTGGTATAATTGGAACCTTATTTCTATCTTATCTGTATCTTATTAGTAGGGTCATCTAGAGGTTTCATTCCCTGGAAGCTGAGGGAATAGAGCTGGATCATTGCTCTACTCGGGGGAGATGGTAGCGAGTATGACATTCAACTATTTTATCATCTGGAAACACAAACTTGGGGGCCCTTTTCATTGTTTAGTACATGTAATCATTAGTGACAATGAACTGACAGACTTTGCTTATTTCTTGCTATAATGTAAAGCCACAAAAGCTGATCATGTTCATGATATAGCTCTTTTTTAAAAACTTTTTATTTTGTATTGGGATATAGCCAATTAGCAATGTTGTGATCCTTTCAAGTGAACAGCGAAGGGACTCAGTCATACATATTTGCTGTTGTTCAGTCACTAAGTTGTGTCCAACTCTTTGCGACCCCATGAACTACAGCACTCCAGGCTTTTCTGTCCTTCACTAACTCCCAGTTTGCTCAAACTCATGTCCATTGAGTCAGTGATGCCATCCAACCATCTCTTAGCTCTTAATTTTGAAGAGACTGACCCACATACAAGTTCCCAATCTTTCCTGCTCACACAGATAGAAACAGGTTCACATTCATACTTGTTAACAGACCCATGCTTAAAACATCTGTGTATTAAATAGAAAAGAAACTAGCTATTTATTACTTTGTAACTTAATTGACAGCAATAAAAGTATAAACTATCTCTCTTATATTAAGAAATTAAAAGATTATACTACTTCCTTTGTTAACGTCCATGCGTGCATGCCAAGTCTCTTCAGTCGTGTCTGACTCTTTGAGACCCTATGGACTGTAGCCCACCAGTCCCCTCTTTGTTAATATTTTATATTAAGTTTTTCCATTTGCGTAAGTTGTTCCAGTTGATAATAATGGTGATGATGATGACTTTCTGTTTAAATTGGTTCCAAGTTCCTCCTTTGTCCCTTTTGCACTGTATCCAGTGGTTTTGAAAGCATCTATGCTCTCTGGCAACAAAAGCCTTTTTTTTTAATTGAAGTATAGTAATTTACAATGTTGTGTTAGTTTTAGGTGTATAGCAAAATATGTATGTATATTCTTTTCAGATTCTTTTCCATTATAGGTTATTACAAGATAATGACTATAGTTCCCTGTGATATACAGTAGGTCTGCATTGTTTGCTTATACATATTAATAGTAATGGGGGCTTCCCTGATGGCTCAGTGGTAAAGAATCTACCTGGCAATGCAGAAGACTTGGGTTTGATCCCTGGGTCAGGAAGATCCCCTGGAGAAGGAAATGGCAACCCACTCCAATGTTCTTGTCTGGAAATCCCATTGGGCAGAGGGGCCTGGTGGGCTACAATTCATGAGGTCACAAAGAGTCAGACATAACTTACTGACTAAACAACAATAGCAACAAATATAGTAGTGTATATCTGTTAATCACAAATTCCTAAACAGGCTCTTCTAGACCTACTCTGAATTTTCCTGCCCCAAGAGTTGAAATCAATTCTCCTTCAAAGAATTCTGGTTCCTTTATATAGAAAATATAGAAAATTAAACCTAAGTTATACAGGTTCAAATGAGTGGTAATGTTGGCCAAGGGTACTGCTTGTATTTTAGTTGCTGGGACTTTTTAAGACAGGGCCAAAAAAGAACTTTTTCTTAATATATGAAGTTCATGTTGATCTTTCCTATCTCATGAAGTTTTAGATTATTATACCTTTCTTCTCTCTAGGCTGGATTTCATAGACCATCACAAGTTTCTTCTACATTGCCATAGCTGACATGTCAACTCTAATTGTTTGGTAATAGCCTATGTTGGGAAAGGTTATGAGGCTGCATCTGGACTCAGGAGGAAAGAATGTTGCAATGATTGATTAATAGTGTTTGTCATGGGCATGGAAAGGGGGAATTGGTAATATATGTGTTACATTTGGTGAGCAGTCATGCTGCCTTGATACTTCCACACAACCCTAGGTCCACTTCGGATGAGTGGTAAACTTTTTAAAATAGTTTTTTAATTTGCCATCCTAGCATTTTTTTTTTTTTTTTTTTTTTAGGAAATAGAAAGATGGCTTTGTCAGCCAGGGGAAGGGATAACACAGTAGGCTCGTACCTTAAGAATTGTGCCCCTGCTCCATGAGGGGCCTAGAGGATCATATAGATGGGGCTTGCAATCAGGGGTAGGAGCTAAAGAACAAAGGTGTAAGGATCTTATATTCTTCTTCCTCTTGCTTTATTTAAAAAAGTCATAGGCTGGCATCTAGTAGCCTGGCCATCCTAGCATTTTTGAGTGTACAGTTCAGTGGCATTAAGTTCATTCATATTTCTGTGCTATGATCACATCATCCATTTCCAGAACTCTTTTCATCTTGCAAAACTGAAATTCTATACTCATTGAATAGTAACTCCCCATTCCCTCTGCCTCTCCAGCCCCTGGCAACCACCGCTGTATGTTCTGTCTCAATGAGTTTGACTACTGTAGTTACTTCAGATAAGTGGAATCATGCTGTGTTTGTTCTTTTGCCACCAGCTTATTTCACTTAACATAATGTTCTCAAGCTTCATCTATGTTGTAACATGTGTCAGAATTTCCTTCTTTTATCAGGCTGAGTAATATTTCATTGAAGGTATATACTAAACTTTATCTACTTTATCCAGCTGTTTGTCTATGGACACTTGTGTTGCTTCCACCTTTTGGCCATTGTAAACAATGCCTGATGGGTATACAAATATCTCAAGACTCAAAAATCTTTAATTTGGGTAGGGGGAATATTCCTAGAAATGGAATTATTAAGTCATATGCTTCCCTGATGGCTCAGATGGTAAAGAATCTGCCTGCAATGCAGGAGACCCTAGTTCTATCCCTGGGTTGGGAAGATCTCCTGGAGAAGGCAATGGCTATCCACTCCAGTATTCTTGCCTGGAGAATTCCATGAAGAGAGGAGCCTGGTAAGTTATAAGTAAGTCCATGGGGTTGCAAAGAGTCAGAGATAACTGAACATACACATAATTCTATTTTTAATTTTTTGAGAAACCACTGTTTTCCATAGTGGTTTCACCCTTTAATATTCCCACCAACAGTGTGCAAAGGTTTCAATTTCACCACTTCCTCACCAACACTTTTATTCTCTGGGTTTGTTTGTTTGTTTTGTTTTTATGGTAGCCATCCTAATGGATGTGTGGTGGAGGATGAGTGGTGAACTTTTGAAGGATAGCTAACCGGGAAAAGAATGGTCCTGTGGCATGAGCTAGAGAGCTAGGAATATTGGGCAGCACAGAGGACTCCAGCTCAGAGTGCCTGAATCATGTCCTCTGGGAGCAGCCCACGTGTGATGCCTGTCCCCTAGAACACCATGTGCCATCATCTAGGAACCACGCTCATTGCTTAGGGCAACACTTTATATTGCTGTGCAAACCCTAGGAATGGGTTCTCCCAGGTCTCTTTGCTTGTTTTAAGAACGCATTATGTAAAAAAGGAATATGCAGGAGTTGATTCTTGGTAGCTCACTACTTCCTATTTAGGATGTAAGTGTTTGGAGACTAATGATGAGATTAGATTTCTCATTAGGATTTCCATTAGGTAAAAATGCGGAGAGAGAAGGTTAAAACTCCATGCATTTAGTGTTGAACCCTTGTAATGGGCTCTCTTGAAACATTAAGAAAAGAGTAGGGATTCAGGGCTAAAATTAATCCCACACCCACCCCCCACTCCATTATTTAGAGACTTAATTTATTCATGCTATCCTCTTTACTCTGGAATAAGAAAAACTGATTCTAGTACAGTTTAGAGAACACCAAACTGAGCTTAAGCCACAGGCCAACATTTCTTGGGTAAAATGCAATTAATGCCCGAAAGGACATATTATGACATACATCTTTGTATTGTGTTGTATTATGACATACAACTTTGTATTCATAGTTGCTTTATTTGTACTTTTGTCTCAAAGGCTACTTTTCTTCTCTGATATAAAACTCAGTGAGAAAACACCTGTTGTGTCTAGGCTGAAAAATAAAAGAATTCATGTGGGCGAAGGCAGGGTTGGCTGGATTTCCTGAGACATTTATTCAGTAATAAACATTTATTCCAATAGCAGCCTTGGCACTAAGCTCAG